CCATAACTGTAGGCTAATCGCATTTATCTTTCTATAACGAGCCATGAAACAAGTCACTATTATATTCATGAAACATAATCTTTTTGTGAGAGACGCTCCTCTAACTCTTTGTATTTCTATGAGAGATGTTCCTCGTATTCTCCTCTTAGAATAGATATTTCTTCATACAACTCTTTTTCTCGCTCTGAAGACTACACTAGATGCAGAACCTTTACGAAATTTAGGTTGTGGGCCCCAATCAGAGCTTTTAACATAGTCTGATCGAGACCCAAGAACCATTTCTATTACTTCTGGGTCTAACATCGATTTGATACCTTTTCTAATAGATTCTTTTCTGAGACGTATCATGTCTAATTGCATAAATAGTTCAAAAGCAACAAAATAATTTCAAATGTAATTTGAAATTAATTATTACAAGAGTAGTAAATTTATGTATGTTGTCTCGGCACCCTCGACCCAACCTTTAATATCAGAGTATCTTGTCTCCTCGAACAAATCAATTTCACCAAAGTGTTCGCCTCCCTCTTACTCTTTCTGCACTGGAAAACACATAATTTTTTATAATCATAAGTACTAAAGTATATGAATTAAAAAATAATATCACATTGTACCTTTTCCTTGGCAATAGTAACAAACGCTTTCGACCTAACGTGATGGTTGAACGGGAGCTTCATCCTATTGCATTTGTTGGTCTCAGATTGTTGTTAGCAAAAGAAAATTATATAAAAAAATATCGAATATAAAGTATAAAAAATAAGTATAAGTTATATTTGTAAACTATCTTCCACTCATCTATCTCTCATCTATCGGATAACATGTTCCAATCTACTGGTCTTGCCAACAACTCTTCAAGTTGTTTGTTGTGAGCAATCTCAGGTGTGGGTTGTTCTCTGTTGTATTTATACAACTTTACCTTATATTCCTTGTACGTTATTTGCTTCACATGATTAATGAAATCCATCATAACTTGGTCTGAGTCGTCGAATATGAAATGACCCTATAAAAAAAATACCAAACCAAGTGGAGGGTTATTACCGTTACATCATACATAATAATAAAAGAATTAAGTAATAGAAATTTTACTTTGAGATGGGTTATAACCGCCATATTTGTCACTTTATTCGACCCCACTCCAAACTCTAGCCTTCAATTGAACTTGTTCGTGAGTATATCCTCTGATTGTGAAAGAAAATGTGGCATCCAGGCTGCACGTTGGTTTATTTACTGTGTATAGTTACCTTTAACACTTTGAAGAACTTGAGCCTCTAGTTCTGTCAATCAGATGTATCATCGCACTCCCATCCTATATGTATGTTGTCAAAACTAAACTAATTAGTTGAATACAAATGACTTATTTATTTTGCATATATTTAAATCAACATACTTGGAGGAAATGACGAAACAGGTGAGTCTGCTGATGATCACCATGTACGTGTGCTTGTTGTAACTGATCTATTTAGTATGGATATGACATTTTTTCTACAAACTTAGACAAACAAAGGTTAGTTGGCACCTCGCCGTTAGCTTTCCAACCAATAATATTATATATTAATGAAACAAATACTTAACATAAATCAATTTGATGGATAAATTATCCAACATATTTTTAAATCGACATATTTGGAGGTATGTTTATTTACTATCGTACTCATCATCAAAATCATCCATACTATTATCAACTAACGCATCCACATCGTATGATTCATTGTTTACAAATTCATTCACATTGCTCACATCTATGTTTCTATTACACTGTTGTTGGATTACTCAACCCTCAACGATAGTAAGATCAACATCATCTCTATGCAATGAACTATCTTTAGTGGATTCATCTATACTGTGATCCTAGGTCCTACTTCTAACAACGAAATTTGATCATTTTATACGTCTTTGTACTCTGAAATATCTCATACGCGTTTATTTAGAGTATTTTGCACAACTTTTTAATTATTGTCAAGTTTGGGATAATCCAAATCAAAAACTTGTTGATCTTAACCAGCGAGAATTAATAGGTTGTCTACATACAAATAATTAGACGTATTAATTGACTTAAAACTTAAGTCAACTCAAATTCTATTCTTCTGTCTCAAATCATTTGTACTTAACAAGTCTGACACGTCTCACTTTATCATAATTTAACTTCCACACATCACTCAAGACACCGTAAAAATTCACCTCGACCCCCTTCTCCTCCACACACCATGACCTCGCTATTTTGTGTGGTTCAACGACTATCTTATTTTATATTACAAAATTAAATCCGTTTACAAGACAACCACTATATGAACGTGCAGTTAATGAGGACCCTAATGAAGTCAATAAAGATTATCATCTAATTCGCCTTGTTACCACAATGTCAAAACCTGTTGTGGATCATAACAAACTACTTAATGATTTCTTTTTGTGTTTGTCTACATTCAAACCCTAAAAATTATTATTCCTGTGTTTGGAACCAATCATAAAATTGTGCACTGGATTGTTCATATAGGACAGATACACTTTGTCTTGGAAGTCGAATTAATCTCAAATGCTAATTACCATGCCATAAAAGAAGAAAAATAAATTTAGTGTTATATAGTTAAAAAAATTAGCATGATTATTCTTAAAGTGAACTTAGCATAAGCTAAACTTACTCGCGATACGACTCTTATCTCAGCATAGCAGTTGTGCAGTACATACCTCTTCTACAACGGAGCATTATAAATCATTGAGAATACCAAATATCTCATCATCCTCATTAGTCGCAACATTGGATTCTCTATTATTTAATTCATCATGCGAAGGAGTTTCATGTTTTGTATAACTACTTGAATAGATTGGTTCTTCTCCATAGTATATCCATTGAGTATATGAATGTGATATTCTATTTATAAATAAATATCTCTATATTCCATCAACTAAATGCTACATTGAATTCATACAATATCTTCCTCGACATCTTGTTTTTCCCATATTATTCATGTGAAGTTTTGCCAATTCTGTAAACTATTTTACTCCTTCTACATACTTTGGTGAGAATCTATCTCTAACCTTAATCAAATCCTTATTTATTCTCAATGATACTCTTCAAACAATCCCCAATTTAGTGTAAAACAGGCAATGTACTTAAACCCTAAAAGAATCAGAAAAATTAGATCCATTTTGTCATCAATTTAAAAATGGAAATATCTCAAATTCGCTTTCAAAATGAGATGAGGGTATGTGTGGTGATTTTTTAGGATGGATGGTGTAGTCAAAAGTTGGAGATTTTTTAGTACTATCGAGAGCGTTGATAATATCACTAAGACAATATAGCCACTAAGGAAAGAACTAAACTAAGAGATAACTCAACTCAAATCTAGTTAGATACTTAAGGCTCACCAACATCTTTCTTACAAAACTAATAAATTAAATTAAACAAGCAACATTAGCACGTTCACAACCAAATTAACGAGTTTACAACCAAACTAGCACACTCCCAACCAAAATAATCGATAATTACAAAACCAATAAATTCAATCAAACAAGCAACATCTCAGCACCCTCACAAATAAATTAATGAGTTCAACAATCAAACAAACATTCTCCGAACAAAAAAAAAAGTTCTATCATACTCACACATTGTCTTACTCTTAAATAATATTGAATCATTGTGGGTATTTGAGGGGAGATAAAGTTTTTGTTTTACTCTAAAATAAAGAAACCCAAACAAAATATATGAATAAAGCTTCCAAAAAAGTCCTACAGAAAACGGACATTTCATTTGTTCATTCAAAATAGCAATGAGTCATCAATCATTAACACTACTTTTGATCATATTTTCTTTTCTTTTCAAATTAATTATTATTAACCAAAATGTACTAAAAAAATTATTATTATTAACCAAAATTTTTTATAAGTATGACACTATAATTTTCTTACGTTATTTTATAATTTCTAACTAATAAATTTCTTATCTAATATCTAAAAAATTGAAAACTTACACACTTTATTTCTAATAAACTAATCCAGTTTCAAATAAAAGTTTTGGTAAACCACGAACAACAAATAAGACATATAAGTACTAAAAGTACGTTTACATGCCTTGGTCTAAACATTCAACAACTACAAAGTAGAGAATAAATTGAGAAACAAAAACCTAATCGAAAGAAAATTTCAAATCATAGAAAATGGAACCATAATTAGCTCATAAAACACAAAGCATAAACCTCGATACAGTTGAAGACATACGAAAATTAGAGACAAAGGGAAATTACCTAGAGGGTGACGGCGGTGATTGAAAGCGAGCGGCGCCGCAGCAAGAGAAACTGACAGGGCGTGGGTGATTCTTTGAAAAACGCTGCGGGGATGGTCTTACAAAAGGCAAGGTGGCAGCGGCGACACGGTGGCGGTGCAGCGCGCGGCGAGTGACTTTGCATTTTATTGCGAAATCTTTGAAAATCGCCACCCGGGGGTCTCAGTCGAAGAGGCAGAGAAAAATGTTGAAGAAAAGTGGGAGTGCTCGATTTAGGGCAGCCTTTGCTGACGAGTTCAATTTTGTCAGAAAAGGCTTTAAAATTTTGTTGCCAAAACGCCATAAACTTGACGTTTTAGTTTCAACGAAATTTTGGGGGCCAAAACCCCGTGCGACTTTTTGGTGACGAAAACATTTCATCATCATAACTAGCGTTCGCGATTAAAACGAATTTCATCGCAAAAGTTATTGGACTTTTCAGGTGAAAGAAGATTTCTTCACGAAAACTGCCTTCTGCCGATGACTTTGCATTTTATTGCGAAATCTTCCATTGGCAAAAGTCAAAAGTGCTGTAGTGATGTAGTTTGATAGAATTGAAATTTTAGGTAAAAATTGATACACATGGACAAGTTTAAAGTTAAATTTTATATTTCTACATTATGTGTATATGAATCTGTGCCCGACATCAAATTCAAGATCTGCTATTGCCCATTATATTTATATGTGGTTGTGCCTGACATTAAATTTTAGATTTGCCACTAATTTAGTTTCTGATGTTTGGGTACGTTTTTAATTTTACTCCCTTATGTTTGAAGATTTTTTATTTTAGAAACTCAAACATATATTTGGTCTAATTTTTAAATATATTTTTAGTCCCTTGTGTCCCTTATATTTGAAATTGGAACTTTTTAAATGACTAAATTTAAAAATAAGTACTAAAAATAAAACATATATTTAGCCTAAACTTTTAAATCGAGCTGAGAATAGATCCAAAAGTCTTCAAAATCCTATAGGATAATTGCCGGCTTCACATTAGTAAACAAATTGATTAAAGAGACATTTTGAGGGTTCGACGGTAAATATAGTAATAAAAATACAGTGGCACAAAAATAGCATATTAAAAGAAAGGAAAATTATAAATTCAATAATAGCTTAATTTTTTCTTTTGTTCTTTTTTAATACATCATATGCAGGGTTGAATTTAAAACTCAACTCTTTGATAGAAAATAGGTCTTAATTACTGGTTGAAATATGTTCAAGTTATTAAATAGTTGTTTAGTATTTATAGGAATGGAGTATCAAACTCAAAATTTCTTTATTTGAGGTATATGTCAATTACCGTTGAATTAAGTTCGCTTTGACAAGTTAGAATAATAGTTTAGTATGGATTCATTAGTGATTATAATGATTATTTTAATCAACATTAGGTTTCATCATTAATTATAATTGTTAAAAAAAATTTGAGAAAAACAAACTTTTGCAATAATAACAGTTTTGTCATCCTAATCTAACTTTTCCCGATGCAAAAATTCGTTGTCATAGCTTAAAATTTTGTTGGGAAAACTTTTTGCCAAACGCTTTTTTCTCGTCAGTCAAATCGTCGCTCTAACCACATTCGGTGAAGCTCTACCAATTAAAACGATGTCCGCCATAAGTATATTTTTCCTCACAAAAATGAAGGCATCGGAAAAATTATTTATTGGCGATACTGCATATTTCTTCGGGGAAAAACATTTCTCCCGATGCTTTTTTCATTTTCGTCAGGATAGGCCCAACCGCTGTAAACGAGATTTTTGAGACCTTGCTGTTTCCGACACTTATCGCGTCTGGGTAAAATAAAAGTGAACTAGTTTATATGTGGGATTAATTTATATTGGTAAATATATTTTATTAATGATAAAAAATGATATATAAATGATTATTTTTTATGAGGTATAGATGTAAATATGGTATATTAGTGATATATCAAGACAAAATTGTTATATTTACAATTTTTTTTTTACCCAACAAATTTGTAAATATCTCAACCAATTTTACACGTATTATAACTTTCCTAAAAATTGATTACAAGATTTTAAAAATACATTTAAAAGTAATGAGCTATAAGCTATTCAGTTCATTAGGTAGAGATGAGAACAAAAGATTTGAATGGTTATTTAAGCTTTTCATGAACCAAATTGGGAGAGAGAAGAGATAGCAATAAAACATTACTAAGTTGGTCGCAATCTCCCAAATGTTTTTCAAGGGAAAGGGTAGAATATTTATCATACAAAAATCACAAACCCTTAATGGGAAATAATTTTCCTTAAAAAGTTGAAAAATTAAAATCTTCAATTTTGACAAAGCAACCCATTTGCCAAATCTATTAATTAAGCCCTCCCTTTGGTATATTATCACAAACTTCAAACATTCATACATTATAAAAGCCACCTAATGGCTGTTAGTGGACTAATTTTTTTATCCACTCAATTTAATGGTTTAAATTTTATTAATATTAATGTAATATAAAAATGGAAAAAATGCATGACAATGATGCATGGTTATTGTTAAGCTGTCACTGTTTAGAAGAATGACAAGTCTGCAAACAAGCTGGCTTTAATTTCTTCCTCCACTCAGAAATAAAATAATAATTTTTTTTTCTTTTTAATTGTAGCTGGCATTTGAAGGATCTGTCTTTCGAAGGAAAGTAATAAATACTAAACTAAATAAGGAAATTACTAAATTTATTTACTGTCGCACGCAATCTTAAAGTTCTTTTAATTCCACAAATGCAAATCTCTCTTTTTTCTTAATTACTTTTTAAGTTCAAATTTCATTTGAATTTTTTTTCTTCAACAAGATAGGGTTGGAAATCCAACATCTCATTCTTAACTATTTGATTCAGGTTGGGATTAGCATCTCATTTCAATTAAGAGTCCTTTTTAAAACGCTAGGATGACCAGATAGGTGAGCTAGAATAGACCAGATAATTGACCTGCAAGACAAAGAACACTCCAATGCCAAAGTCAGAAACAGCCCGAAATGCTTTTTAGAGAGAACAGGGATGTTCGTGTACCTCAAACGGAATGAATGAGCTCYATTTATAGGTGACTCCCCCGACAATCTTCCCGACAACGCCTCAACGACTCTTTAAGGTTACCATGAATCGTGGCGCACTATCATGACGTGACTGTTGGAGCCTTGGATTGAGCCGAGGTGAAGCTAGGTGGTTCGTCTTAATGAAAGAGGTGCCTTCAGGAAGCTTGATCGGCTCGACCACACAAGACATCGGCTCGGCCACATAAATGAACTGATGTTATGAAACTTCAAGCTTATAGATGGAGGTCATGTATATTTCTTATCATCCAATCATCATATGCCACGTATAAGGTGAGAATTACTTCCAACAAGTCCGTTTGTTAATGTTTTTTTGTTTTTTGTTTTCAATTTTATTATAGAATTTAAACATTAACAACTATTTATGTTTCTTGTTTCTATTTATTTTTAGAAAAATTCTCAAAATTGTATTAGAAATTTTGAAACAACAAAAACAAGTTTCTTGTTTTTTGTTCCAATTTTCAACTTTATTTAAAACATAAATAAAAATATTATTTTATCATTTTTGAATTCATGGGTATTGGAAGTGATGTAATTCTATTTTTCTTAATTAAAAGAAAGAAACAGAAACAACAAACGAAAACGTTACTAAACGAGCCATAATAGTCTGTTCGGTGACCTTCGTGTTTCATGTTTTTTATTTATAATTTTATTAAGAAATCCAAGTATTTAACAACTATTTATGTTTCATTTTCCTCATTTATTTAGAAACATTCACCAAATTGTATTGAAATTTAAAACAACAAAAATAAGTTTTGTTTCTTGTTCCCGTTTCCAATTTGTTTAAAAACACAAATAAAAATATTTTTTTATCATTTTTCAATCTATAGGTGTTGAGGCCATGCAATTCAATTTTTCTTTATAAAAAAGAGGAAATAGAAACAAGAAAGAGAACACTACCCAACGGGCCCTAAACTTTAAAAAAAATTATTTTGATTTATGAATTTTCAAAATCCTTAATATTCGTAATCCTATAAACTTTAAGTTTTGTTCTATCTTCTAATCTATAAATTATAAAACTGTATATTTTTTTCTTTAAATTTCAAAATGTAAATATTTGATTTCTTTTAGTACAACATATAGGGGGATTAAACTTAATCCCTCTTGGTTGGAGGAATATGTTAACTATCGCTCAACTATGTTCGTTTTGGCTTGAATTTTTGTTATTAATAATATAATGTTAACATTTGACATTTCGTGATTTTAAATATGTGTAATAACTGTTTAGGTGTAGCGCATAAATTGAAGCCACCTAGATTTGGTTTAAAGTATAAATTTTGTAACATAATAATAGCAATAGACTATAATTTTTTTTAACTTCATTTGAAAGGTTTAGAAAAAAAAATGATAATTTTTTTAACTCTTAATTAAAATGGATATTTTGAAAATTAAAATTAAAATTTATCATCATCATTATTTTTATTATTATTATTATTATTGAATTACTTGTTTGCTCTAATGAATTTTCAATCTTATGGCAATGCTGTGATGTAAGCAAGCGTGCAACTTGACAGTAATATACTCAATAACTGAATGGAAACGTTTGTTTTTATACTATTTTGACCCTTTAATTAATAATATCTAATTTATATATTTCTTTTCAATTCTATTGAATTATTTTTTAGAAATTTTTATATTTGTCAATTCTATATCCCTGTTTTTCTCTCTCCTTAAGCGAGTGAGAACTAATTTTTTGTATTTTCCTATTTTATTGATGGAGATGTGTATTTTCAATGAAATGTGTGTTTCAATGAATGTTCAAGAATGAGGTCAACATGAGCTTAGATCATCGATAATCAACCTATGTTTCTAACCAAGAGGTCATGCGTTCGAATCATGTACCCCACTTGTTGTGTATATAAACACACACATATATATATAATGATTTAAGAGTTCCAGTAAAATAGGGGTAAAAAAGAACACAGTTTTGTAAGGTTGGAAGTAAGCTCAATCCCTCTCTCACTCTATATTTGTTAAACTTATAAAAAGGAAAAAAAAAATTACTTTATTTTAATTAGTATGTATTTTAGAAAATAAGACTATTTTCAAATTTTTATTTAGATTTTGAATTTTTTAAAAAGTAAACAAATAAAAGAAAACACATGTCGGGAAAATA